CCATAAGTGTGTGGGGAGTGAGAACATGTGGATTCATATCTTTCCCAAGGGTATTTGCGCGCAAGTGAATTTAACGAAGTCCATCCCTTTTGAGGTTGGTTTTGAATTTAGAATTTTCCTTTTTTTTTAGACTGGCTTACGGCCATATCATGTTGAAAACACCGGTTTTCGTTAAGCAACGTCGAGCCTGGTCAGTATCTAGATGGAAGACCGCTTCGGAATAACAGGTGCTGAAGTCTTTTGTGTGCCGGTGGTGATACATATCTTTCCCTAGGGTATTTGCTAATATAAAGAGCCCGACTGGAATTGGAACTCGGCTCTCCGATTTACAATCCCGAGCTGTTATCCATTGCATTACCGGTACTTCCCAACTTACAGTACTAGTATTCCCAGCCGGTCACCCACTCAGGTACAGACCAGGCTCTGGTGTTCCAACGTGATATGGCCGTAAGCCTTCGACATGATGAAATGGTTAGCAGGCTTGTTTTGCTAGATCAGTTACGACTGAGTAGTGAGTTCGATCCTGGGTGTCCATTGTACCACATCTTAGATACGCTGAGTAAATCCCTATATGATCAGGAAATATGTTTTGGAGCTTTTAGCATCTAGCCCAGTAAAGCATGTCTCTTCGAAAAGGTACTTTTCGGAGTACCTTCAAATAACATCCACTTATCCGGAAAAGTTAATGAAAGGCCGATGGTTTATTAGTTCATAGGGTTAGTTAGTTTCTGAATGGTGTGTAATATAGCAATTCGTTTTTTGAAAGTATTTCTATTAGGAAGCTTTATTAAAAAATAGGAAGGTTTTTTTTTTCTTCCAAGAAAACTGCTGTTGTCTATTTTTATTCTGTATTATAAAAAAAAAAAAATAAAGAAGGAAAATATTCTCTGATGGATCGAACAGTGAACACATGTGAGTACTACGATTTTTTTTGTAAAGATATTCCATTGATTTTTGTAACCTTTTTACGCGTCCATGTCACGAAAAAAAATGACTGCATATAAACAAGGCCTTTTTCGATCTCGGGTTTGGTGGAGTTTATTTATTTTTTTTTAGACTAAAATCATTAATAACACAGCAAGTTGAGATGTTTGGTGAGAGAAATGATTGTTGCATCGTTGTTGATATTTTAGACAAAAAAAAAAAAAAAAAAAAAAAAAAAAAAAAAAAACAAGGACCTTACCATTAGGAAAGAAGAAGATACCATTTTAGAAATGAATGAAAACTTTAATGTTGCAGTTTTTTGTCAGAATTATGGAAATGTGGAATTATTACCATCTGTCTATATTCTTGAGATGATCCATTTACACTATCTACGTCGTTCAGACTATTGCCCTCATCATTATTGTCATATTCACGACGTTTCGGTCGTTACATTCCAACATTTCAGCCTATACTTGGAATTTCGAACTGAACCCTATATTTAGACCAGTAGGACATTTTGTTCTAGTTCCACGTGCCATGCCTTTTCTGACTATTTTAGTTTCCGTTATCTCCTTTTTATTAATAATATCTGCGTTAAATAATACTTGCTGCGTAAATACTCAGAATATGTAATTTAATATACAATAAGACATTTGTAACAATGGCGACTTTATCTAGCTAATGTCCTAGCGTTATGTTGGGAGGCATTTTTGGCGCAACCCACACACACACACACATATATATATATATATATATATATATATATATATATATAAGGAACAGTGGAACAGTTCGAATTCCAGTCGAATCCATTACATTAACTTACGTGCTAATACCATTGGGAATGTTGTTGTTGTTGTTGTTGTTCTTCTTCTTCTTCTTCTTCTTTTTTTTTTTTTTAAGCATTTCACCCCAATCAAGGCGTGAAGCCACTAGCACGCAAGGGGTTATAGAGGATTTGGAGCGAGAGCAGGTAAGGAATGTTAGAGGAAAGGTTGGGGAGAAGGATAATGGATAGATCAAGACAACTGGAGATGTCGATTGACATTACATTTGAATAGTTATTGCGATTATAGCTATCAGGGAAACAGGAATAGGGAAGGGAGTTCCACAGGCGAGAGGTGCGAGATATGAAGCTATTGGAGTAAAAGAGGCAGCAATTTCAACAGTGAAAGGGTGAGAGCGGGATGCCAGCCTCGTAGGGCGCTTGAATTCATGAAGTCTGGGAACCAGTGAAAGCAGCTCATCGGAGCAATTACCATGAAGGTATTTGTAAAAAAAAGACAGAGAGAGGCGACGGCGCGTCTGTGAGAGAGCGACTGCAGACGAGATGCCAGATCATGGCCAATTATATTGCATCTTCTTCTTCTTCTTCTTCTTCTTCTTCTTCTTCTTCACAGTCGATGTCCTCCAATTAGGTGGCTCACCTTGCTTGCGAACACGTGACCTTTGTAGTTCCTCTGAGGAACCCTTCCGGTGACCAGCGTCGATTTCGTTCGCCCTGTGTTGCAGTGTTAACAACGCTCCTTTACGGTTTTACATATTTATCATTTATAAAAAAAAAAAATTAGCAGATGTATGAAGAAAAAGGTATAGGTATACGCAACAGACAAGGCGTACACATCTCTGGTGACATATTCACATATATCCTCAAATCCAAAGCATTCGTGTACACGTGATCACATACACGTACATAATGAAAGGCTTGCAATCTAAAAGAAGCAGACGATGCCTACATTGACGGAACCAATGGAACAAGACGAGCGAAATCTAATTTCCTGCCTTCCTGTCGAGTTTTAATCAAAATCAAATCAAAACCAATAGTCACCGACCACCAGTTCGTCAGTTTCACATCCGCGACACACGACCCGGCCAAGGCCGTCCTCAACCTTCCAACCCACAGCACTAATCATTCTTTCCCCTACTCATCCTATTCACACTTCAACATTGGCTTCTTTCTCCCCACCAATCGACATACAATCCTGCAAATTGCGTTTTTCTCTTTCGCCCTGGAAGCACAAAACAATATTGTATTGAAGGCAAATTGATAGTACACACGACTCTAAGCCAAGGCATAAGCGTCTTTGCTTATAACAAAGTTTGTTTGCAAGAGAGATAAGTCTTTTAAAACTAGAGACAAAGAAAGGATTCTTGAACGGGGAGGACTGTTTGTACAACATCTGGGATATTTACATCAACGACATACTCTTCTATGCATCTCATTCTCTTCTCTATCTATCTATCTATCTATCTATCTATCTATCTATCTATCTATTACTAATTTCTATCACTAACATTTATGTATCTATACCTGATATATATTTGTCTGTCAATCAATCGATTTATCCATCTATCTATAATATGTCTGCGTGTGTGTGTATAATATAGTATAATAGATAGTATCTATCAATCTTCAATCTCTACCTCTCTATAATATATATATATATATATATATATATATATATATATACAATATCTATTAATCAATATATAATATCTATCAATATCTATCTATCAATCACTGATATCTGTCTCTAATATCTGTGTATCTATGCCTAATATCTATCTATCTATCTATCTATCTATCTAATTCTCTTCACTATCTATCTATTAGGTTGGTGCAAAAATAATGTCGTTTTCTCTTTTGAAGTTAAACGTCAAAAACGACATTATTAATGCACCAACCTAATATCTATCTATCTATCTATCTATCTATCTATCTATCTATCTAATTCTCTTCATTATCTATCTATCTATCTATCTATCTATCTATCTATCTATCTCAGATTCGCTGTTTAATTTCGATGCCTCCCCTCCGAAAGTAACATGTTCCAATTCCAATCGGGTTTGTTATAATTACTTACGTGCAAACATCATTTGGAAATTTATAAATCCATCTGTTTTCCCCTAGCTGTGGTTTAATTCTTAAAACTTGTATCCTTAAGTCATTATTATCTAAGAAATACTTATAATTTAAAAATATTTTTTGGACTTTAACTAACCTGCGAAAGGTTGATGAGCCGTAAAAAAAAACGAATCAAACAATCAATAAGTTAGTGTCTTATATCTCGGCTAATTTCGAAGTTTCTAGAGCTAATTTTGTCCCAGAGGCATTAAGAATAAATCATATGTCCCCACTTAGACATTGAGGCTTGCTTTACTTTTGACGTTATATTTGCGCAGTGAAACTTTAGATTAATGAATAGGAGGAGAAAAACCCCCAAAAAAAAAAAAAAAAAAACACCGGCGAAAGAAAGAATCAGATAAAACCTTGAATCGAAGCCAAACACGTTGCAATAATCGATAAACAATTTTTAATATCCTTTCAGAGAGATAATAAAACCTTACAAAATATAATGTGAATGTACGTGGAAAGTTATGAACCTTAGTCGCTTCTTCAGAGGTTAATAAAAACCAACAATGAAACGTCTGTCTCTAATGCCCTCTTTTCATCATCTTGGAAATAAATCCAGTTTCACCATTTTATATATGTAGATATAAGGGTATAAAAAGAAAGAAAAAAAAAACGGGTTTCAAATGTAACCATCATTGATCACGGATGGGACACTTCAATATGGTGTAATGGTTAGCAAGCTTGATCATTTACGACTAAGTAGTGAGTTCAAACCTTACTGGTAGCAATCATACTTTCGGCCTATCTAATCTAAGCTTAGCAAACCATCGTCAATGATCATAGATATCTTAAAATTTCTGCTAAGGATAGAAAGGAAATTTATACCTTCCTTTCTTAAAATACATTTATAAAATCCAAAGGTGGAGGTCATGAGTGATGTTATCCTGGCTTCATTACGAATTTTGGGTATTGCAGCATCAGATCCGTTCTGCCAGGTACTCCGTCCTGTTAACAGGTCGCCTCTCCGCATAATTCGGTCCACGATGTGATTTTAATAACAATATATATTAAGACATTTTTATGTTTATACATTCTTTTTATACATACAAATATTTAAGTAAATGCTCTGTTTATAACAAACAGTATTAAACAACATTTAACGGCCGAGAAATTTTCACAGAAAATATTGGTCCTCCGACAGGATTCGAACCTGTATCCGATACGGAACCGTCATTTAGCTTGACGTGCGTTAAACCGATTTGGCCACAGAGGAGCGTTCAGTTAGCAAGGTCGAATTTACTGTATTTGAACATCACTCTTCTATGAATCTCTCACGGACATTCATATCTGCTCGATGCGTATCCAAATGTAAACAAATGATGTCACACATTATGAAATGTGTGACATCTATCTATCTATCTATCTATCTATCTATCTATCTATCTTATTCTCTTCACTATCTATCTATCTATCTATCTATCTATCTATCTATCTCAGATTCGCTGTTTAACGCTGTTTGTCGCTGTCCGACAGTTATTTAAAGACATTTTTATGTTTATACATTCTTTTTATAGATACAAATATTTAAGTAAATGCTCTGCTTATGTGTGTGTGTGTCTGCGTGTGTGTGTGTGTGTGTGTGTGTGTATATATATATATATATATATATATATAGCATAATGAGAAGCCACGTATACTTTCTTAATATGTATATATAGAAAAAGTTGCAAATTGAAAAAATAATAATGTTTTATTTTATGAAATTAAAAAATTTAATTTATAAATTAAAATTACTGTTTGTTAACAAGTAGCGTCACGAAAAAAAAAAGAAACATATTGGATTTTGAAATTAAATACACATAAACTAGGGTTGAATAGGGACTTGGGTGTTTTAAATCTTTATAAATATTTCAATAGTTAAGCAATTTTTTTTGATATAGTTAAAAAAAAAAATATTTTTTAAACAACATTTAAAATATTTATGACAGATTTAAGTTAGGAATATCCGAACAGTGACGTTCCATATCACGTGACGTCCGCGTCTCGCGAAGGACGCTACTTGCTAACAAACAGTAATTTTAATTTATTTGTAACAAACAGTTATTTCTGATGAAAGATTGAGGACAATTTGAAATATCAAATATATATATAAATAAATAAATACTTTCATAAAATAAAACATTATTATTTTTTAATTTGCAACTTTCTCTCTCTCTCTCTATATATATATATCTTTATCTATCTATCTATCTATCTATCTATCTATCTCTCTCTCTCTCTCTCTCTATATATATATATATATATATATATATATATATATATATTAATAATCAGGAGGTAGATTTTTCTGTTTATTTTTATCCTGTTTATGTTTATAATTTCTTTCTGTAGCAGAATTTTATGTGGGCGATAAAATTCAATCCAGACACACGTCTCAAGAACTCGTCCTCCACGCAACTTAACGCCTCGGAGACAAACTCCCCGACTGCAATCAAGTTACGCGTTCTACAGAACCTAATACGTATAGCACAACGCAAATCTCGTTCAGAATTTACCTATCCTTCGAGACTCACGCTGGCATCGAGATTTTATAAAGGCCGTTTGTGAGGTTTGTGGGCAGGCCAACGCGTGGAACGTTGTTTACTCAGGTATGCATCTTTTGGCCGTATTCTGTTTTTTTAGTTGGCTTTTACACCCTTTCCTTCATCCTTGGAAAACGGCGCACATGACGCGGGTTCGTTTTCGGGGATGTTCTACGTTTATAAATGAAATCTTTTTTTAATGGAAACGTTATTTTCAGTGACCATTTTTTTGAACAGCGAAATTAATACGAACCGGCTTGGAAATCGAGAAATTATCTTTCAACTAAAAATATGCCTCCTAACAGATGTCCTGCTAATTAGGCTAGGGGAAAACATGATAACCCCTAAGGTCAATTACTTAATTAAAGAATGCTCATCTTCTGAGACTTAACGAAGTTTATATACGCAAGCTTTATTTTCTTACTTGTAAATTAATGTTTTAAATATATTTTTTAATCCGACATTATTAATAAATAATGACTTTTGAACGGAAAATTCGGTACCAAAATCAGAAGGCGCATTGGAATAAATGCCTTCTAAAAGCTAAGCAAAGTATTAAGAAACAGGAAAATTTCGTTAGAAGCAGAGAAAAAACCCACTGTATTGTTACATAATATTAGTCTTACTTATATAGCAGTGAATGATGGGAAATCTCCTTACACATAAAGAGACTGAAATGTGGCTCTACAGAAGGATTCCATGAACTGAACAGGTCAGCAAGGACAAAGTTTTTAAGGAAAATAAAATAAAAGACACTTCGAATCAGAAAGATAAAACATAAGGTACATAGTGAGGAAATAGGGCTTAGAAAATTTGACATTCACAGGGCATACTGAAAGCAAGAGAGACAGATGAAAGCAGCGATTTACCAAACTAACGAGTTTGTGTAAATGATTGGAACCATACACGAGGAAAGATAGCAAAAAGACAAACCTTACTATAAGCTACAAAGGATAAGAAGTTGTGGAGAGTTATGATCACCCACGTCCTGAATGGACACGGCTCATATAAATAAATAAAAAAAATAAATCATACACAGTATTTACATTAGTCGGACTATTGTCCTCATCTTTGTCGCCATATGTGTCACAACGTTTCGGCCTTTTTCAGGTGGTTGAAATATAGAACTGAACCCTTTATTTCGATCACTGGGGTAAACTGTTCTAGTTCCACGTGCCATGTTTTGATGGATGTCAGTTATCAGTTATCTCCTGCTAATTTTCCCTGTGAAAGTTCTCCACTGCCTTAACCAGGAATTGAACTCACCTTCTTTGGGTCTGTCACTGGATCTAACCAACCTTTATCCACTGTGCCATGTGTCCTTGAGGACATCTGGGTATGAACTTCTGAGTATTATAAACGTAATGTTTTCAGCATCATTTTTACCAGTGCTCATATTGCAATTTTTGCTGTTATCATTGCATGTCTTTACCAGAGTTCATATTGCAACTTTGTACAACGGCCGAAACGTTGTAATAAATATGGCGACAAAGATGAGAACAATAGTCCGACTAATGTAAATACTGTACATAATACCTCATCTTAGAAATATAGACAGACTCAGAAATCATACAATTGTTTCAAATGATGATAAAATATATTTCTGTAACCATTTCTCGCTTTTGAAACTCTCTAACCTGGTTTCTTTCTTCCCAGTTAAATTTCCAATGTCAGTCGTTATCTTCTGTCTTCTTTTGTTGACCTCTCGCCTTAATCAGTTTTTTTTTTCTCATATTCTCTAACACTCAGAAACCCCGGCGTCCTAGTGGCTTTATTGCCTTGCTTGGGGTGAAATGATTAGAAAAATTCTTACGTCTTTGATACTCTTCTAAGCAGAATGTGTATTTGACGCACCCACTAAGTGCCTCCAATGAGAATTGCCAACGCACACACACATTTCTACATAGATGCGCGCGTACACACACATTTCTAATTACATGCGCGCACACACA